AGTGAGTCAGCATTGACTTAGATGGCAGTGGCTTGTTTGTTGTTTTAAGTGTTACTGTGATATTGGAAACCCAGGGGCAGTTCTGCCCAGTCCAGAATTGACTCGAGGTTAGTGAGTTTGGCTTTGATCTTCTACTGTGGAAAAGGAAAAATGAAATAGGAAATGTAGAACATTTGGCTTGTAGCAAGCTTGTGGTGAGTACTAATTATAACTAAAGAGATCCGATTGTGATCTTAAGAAATTATCTTAGCATGCAAAGTGTTTAGTAACAAAATATAGTTAGGGATGTTTTCTAAGGTCACATGATACTTGGGGAGCAGGAAATGATGTTAATGTTGATAGGGAACAGTTATGCTATTGAGTAAATTAAATGTTTATGGCTAGAAGGTGTCGATTTTGTGTTAAGAAATGCTAGCTCTCATTTTACATTCTAACAAGTAAAGTTTGTCATGGTTTACTAGAAAAGAATTGTTTGAAACGGACTTTGAAGAATGGCTTGACTGGCTTAGAATGGAGAGAAGTGGCTGGAAGTAGGGTATTCGTAACTGGTGATGGGGAAGTAGTCCAGTAAGACGAATCATAAACAATCTAACCCGTCTTACCAGCCTCATGAGGATCTAGAAATTTAACAACAAATGAAGAGACAACATTAAACATTCAAACTCCTGCATTCAAGGCTCTGGAGAGAAGAATTGAGCAACCTGGGAAATGGTTTGCCAAGAGGAAGGACAGACCCTGCCAGGAGGTTGGATTACCTGGGTCTCATTTTGGAAACTATTTTTTCTTACACTTCTGCTAAGCCATGATATTCATGAAATCAGTGTTTGAAGTCAAAATTGAAATAAGGAGCAGGAAGTTATTTGTGGGTTTTGAAGACAGGTTTGACAGTCACCAAATGGTGGGCACAATATGACCCCCTAGCATCATTCAGAAATGCCCCTGTGGGTTTCTGAGACTTATCTTTCTCCCTCGGAGCAGCTACTTATTTCAAACTGCTGGCCTTGCAGTTAGCAGCCCAACTCGCAACCACTATGCCACTGTAGACTTGGTGGCAGTCAGTAAGACTAACCTAAAGGCTTGGCCATCTATTTCCATAAAAATTACAAGCAAAAAAACTCTAGGGAGCAATTAATGCTTCTCTATAACATGTTCGTTATAAGTCAGAATCAGCTGATCAATCCTGAAGTTCAGGATTAATTAAATAGGAATTCAAGCACTTGCATAATAGGGAATAGACAAAATTAGGAAGTGGATGATCCCTCCAAAAGAGATTTCATAGCCAGGAGTGGTGATGCACTGAGTTAAGTGTTGGGCTGCTCCCTGAAAGGTCAGCGCTTTGAACCCCAACCCAGCCTCTCAATAGGAGACAGATGAAGCATTCAGCTTCCAGAAGGATTTCAGCGTTGAACGCCCTGTGGACCAGTTCTGTTCTGTCCTACAGGGTCACTGTCCGTCAGAATGGCGGTGGGCTTGGTTTGGGTTGGGATTTGGAAAGGATTATGTATGCCGTAGTTTATTGCTGGCCATTTTATTGTGCCAGGCAACCCAGAGCAATGCTTTGGAGTAAACGTATTTATGTCTTTGATGACTTCCCACAGCATCACCGTCCCTGATGGCTAAAAGTTCCCTCAGTTCTAAAATGGTCAAAGTGACCCAGTGAGGAGCAGTTACTTGAAGGCTTTAATCTCTCTGCTTTCAAGACTGTCTAGAAAGATGGGTCCATTTGTGGCCACAAAAATAATCTAGATCTCCCAGGACAATATGGTCCATGACAGATCCCATTAGGGTCACTTACTTTCCTAACTGCACCAACTCCAGCAAGAAGCCATTGTGGGGCCAAGAAATCACCCCAGTGTGTGAAGGAAGCAGCAGATATCAATGGGCAAGCCCTTCTTTGTAGCCTTCCATCTCTGTAGGGTCGCTGAGTTGGAATCCACCTGGCGACACACTTGAAACTTTTTTTTTTCTATGATAACTAACAGGCTATCGTGGATTATATCCCTTTTTATTAATGTATCACTTAACACATACTTGGTAACCAAGAAACCATAACAGACTAGTATCTACACATAAATGTGCAAATGCCTATTTAGTTCAACCTCAGAAAGACTTCCATAGTTATAAAATTAGCATAACTTTTCTTAGTTACGTATAACATCTACTTACTTAGACTTACTAGGTTGATTATGAAAGAATTTCATAAAATTTTGAATTATGTGGTTTCCATCATAGATCGATCTTAATATCTTAGTTTTTCCATATTTTTGTTAAGGAATAAAACATATCAAATCTAAAGATTGTCTTACCTGCCTAGTAACTGAAAAGATAACCACCAAATCACGGAGTTTTTAGTGGATTGGCAGCATGAATTAATGCTCCCAAGGGAAATTCGACTATCAATTTCAGAATCTCTGTTTTCTATTACAGTGAAATTGTGACTAGCCAGAATTTCCAGGGTTGTGCTGCTCTGTTTAATTGGATTTTCACTGTTCTCACCACGCTTGATGAAAGTTTCTTCCCATTAGACTGTCCATTACTATAAAGGAGAGTTGATTTTTTTTTTTTAAGTTATTAAGTCTTTGGGTAAGTCTGGTTATTATTCCAGGTGTCCTGATCACTGTAGGGCATAGTTAGGTGGAGGATCCTGAAATGGATCTTTGCCAACCCCAGAACCTACACAGGGATTTTCTCTTCTGACTGAGTCCCTGATGGGAGCTTGTTTTTCATTTTTTCTTTTAAAGGGGAAACCTAATTAGTCAGTATTCCTAGATTTCAGGGTAATTGAGCTGTTGGTGAAGCCTTAATCACCCTCCCACCGCCACATAGCAGAGAGATGCGTTATCATTTTTATGCTAATGATAAAGTAGGCAACAGGAATGGCTAAAGGAAAGGCAAGTGTTTTCCTTTTAAAGATCTCATTACTTTTTTGTTCCTGGGCAGTTCTGCCCTCAGAATGATGCTGGGACATGTGTGAACTAGAATTTGGATCTATATGTCAAGAAAACTAGCTAGGGCATTTAGTTCGAGATTGATTTTGTAATTATCTGAGGAGAGATTTAAAACAGTTTTGTTTAAAGGGGGGGTTTGAACAGCCCTGTTTATATCTAGGTAAATTTAAAGGCTTTTTCTTTTTCTTTTTTTTAATCATTTTACTAGGGGCTCATACACCTCATCACAATCCATACATACATAAATTGTGTAAAGCCCATTTGTACATTCATTGCCCTCATCATTTTCAAAACATTTGCTCTCCACCTAAGCCCCTGGCATCAGCTCCTCATTTTTCCCCTTTCCCAGCTCCCCCTTCCCTTATGAACCCTTGATAATTTATAAATTATTATTTTCTCATATCTTGCACTGTCTGACGTCTCCCTTCACCCACTTTTCTGTTGTCCGTCCCCCAGGGAGGAGGTTATATGTAGATCTAAAGGCTTGTTCTTTATTTGTATTTTCACACTTAAAAAATGGCACATTTCTGCGTATGGGTGTTTCACTGTTTGATCATAGATCTCTTTTTCCAGAGATATATATGTGTATATATATTACATATGTATAAAACATTGGTGAATATTATTTATGTAAATCTCTATGTACATTTCTAGTTATTACCTTAGGACAGATCTCTAAAAGTGGACTTTGGGGATGTTTAAGGCTTGTGCTACTTCTTTGCTTTCTAGATGAATAGTATTGTGTATATTTTTCACCTACCATGTTTTCGAGTCCAAGTTTTTCTAAGCTCTCAAATGCTCTGGGTATTTTTTATTTTTAAATATTCAAAAATGTATCTGAGGAAGTAGTTTTAGCAGCCTGACAAACTTTTTTCAAAGTAAATTTAATGTACTTTTATATGCTGCTTTTTCTCCTTAATTGGTGGCATGTATTTTTTCCAATACATTGAAATCTTCATAAGACACTATTTGAATGGTTACATAAAAGTTGTATCCTGATTACCCCAGCCATCACTCCAAGGTTGACTACTAGTTCTTGATGTTACATACAGTTCTGTGCTGGATATCTGCAGAACTTTTGTTTGTATTTTTATCATTCCTCAGGGAATGTTCCCAGGAAATAGAATTCCTGTGTCACAAGCTTTCCATGCATATCGCCCAGAAAAGCTACTCCAATTCATGGCCACCCTCAGTGTGTGCACATGTCTCTGTCGCGGCACTCTGATCAGCACTGAACATCCTTTTTTAAAAAAAAAAAAAACTTTGCTAATTTAACAGATAGGGCTGCTCTCTCCTTTCCCAGTCAAGAACTCTTCCTTGACCGATAATCAAAATAAGAGACAAGACTGTGGATGAAGTAGCACTCTTGTCATTTTATTAGTCGAATAACTTTAAAAATATGGCCAGGTTGTTTTTGTGCTAAAATTTCTTGTAAAAGTCAGCCCATCTCTGAGAAATCTGTGCCAAAAGATACCATATTAAGGTTTTGGCCAACCTCAGTTGTACTCGCATAAGACTCCCAGTCCACTTTTGGCATGAGTACACATCATTTGTAATTGGTCATGTCATTTAAAACCCATAGGCCTCAGTGTTGCATCTTGACCTTCCTCATTGAGGAAGCTTGCTGGCACTCTGCTGCTAACCACAGGGTAGCCAGTTCAAATTCACCAGCAACTCCACAGAAGAAAAGACTTGGTGATCTGATCCTGTGCAGATTTTAGTCTAGGAAGCCCCATGAGGTAATTCAACACTGCCCTATAGGACACCATCAGTCAGAATCAGCTTGACAGCACACAACAGCAAACGACCTCTTAAGCCTTCTGCGTGGCACAAACAAGTTTAGTGTTAGGCTGTTGGCTGAAAGGTTGGTGGTTCAAATCCACCCACGGGTGCCTGGGAAGACAGCCTGGCCATCTGCTTCCTAGAGATCACAACCTTGGAAATCTATGGAGCAGTTCTATGGAAATCCTATGGAGCCTAGGAAATCCTATGGAGCAATTGACACATGGGGTCACCGTGCGTCAGAATTGACTTGGTGACAAACAACAAAAGGCTAATATGGAAATTTTAAAACAAAAAAAATATTATCAGCATGCAATTTAATGATTGAGTTTTCAACTGCTTAAGTGTTTGCAGTTTGCACTGATGGGAAAACTAAGGCCTGGGCAGATCGACAATGTTGCAAAATGATTTAGAGGCAAATCTGAAAGCTGAAGGGCTTTCTTATTCCCAGCCTGGATAACAGCATGCACCGTGTCAGTCAAGGTTTCTCAGGCTGCTTCCTTGCACTTGGTTCAGTTCTCTCCTTTGGGACTTACACCCCAGAGTGAGGCAAGGCTTTCAGTCTGTTGAATATTTGGCTTCTGTGCAGAAACTTCAACCAGCTAACAAGTTACTGCCAAGTGAGACAGATGGTCATTTTTAAGATGTTGGCCCTGGTGGGACTGCCAGGGTATTCTCCTCCTCAGACTACTCTGAAGAGCTTTCAGGTGGCATCCACTCTGTCCTGGCTGGACTTGGCATCTCCTGAAGGTGGCGCATCAGAGTGCTTTGAAGTCGTGCCCCTGTTGTAGCGGGTTTGGAGGACATGCTCTAGATGACCTTCCCTATGTATGGAGAGGAGAGGCTGAAATGCAAACGAAAGCTGAAGAAGCATTCCAGTGACATTTGCGCCTCCTGCTGGGTTCCCCAGCATGTCTTTATTCTTATGTGCAAGAAGGTGGACCTTCATAAGCAGAGACCTCCAGTAGGAAGACAGAAGGTAACTCAGGCAAGGGAGTCAGGCAGGAGCCACAGAACAGAGACGTGGACTTAGAGAAGAGTTTTCACTGGATGAAAAAAAGCTGCTGATCCACGATAATAAAAAATTGGGGAAAGTCATGAAAATACTAAATGATTGAAATGGCTGGTTTTGAGGGGAAGGCATCCCCCCAGCAGCTTTACCAAAATGTAACCAAGACCAAGACTACACTGGGACCTTGCGGCAGTTTTGAGGGCATGGGATAGCCAAGATAGTCCCGGAGGCTTAGCCTCTAAGAGGCTTTAACACCTGTCTCCCGTTGTGGCATTTTTGGAGGTAAGCATGAACTAGTTTTGTGTTGGTAGCTTTTCGGTAAAATCAGGTGGTACTGTCTAAGTGTAAGCCTTTGTTTTATTAAGTAGGCATAACAGACTATGGTAATTTTATCTAGTGGTCCAATAATTTTATTCCAAATTGGTAATATAACGTTCTTTCTTGCTTATTAATTGCTTTTAATTTGTGATTGAGTCTCCCAATTGACCCCTTGTGAGACCCTTTAATTTCATTGCCCTCGGTGCTGGTAGGTGCCAGGAAATCGAAATAGACACCAGTGTAATTGTTGCCCCTCTTAAAGAAAGTGTGCTATTTCAAAATTGACTGGTTAGGATCATTTGATCACAGACGATTTTCAAGTATATTGCTTTCTGGATAGATCCATTTTTAGAGGATTAAAATAATGTGGCAGCCTAGTAAAAAATGAAATAATGTTTTGAAACAGTTGTGTGAGCCATAGAAGAATTATACAGTCAGGCTAGATTTGAATTGGATCCAGATTTCTCTGGCTCCTTCCGTTCGGGGGGTGGGGGTTGTTTTCTTGTTTATTAATTAGCACGATGACTGTTCGTGTCCTCTTTTTTCCACTCCAGTGTGTGAATGTTCCTGTAGAGATGGACTGGTCTACACACTGGGGTCACAGCACCTTTTAGGCTTGAATTTGATTTTTCTGTAGAAGCTTTTCAGCAATGTGGTGTATTTTGTGAGAAGAGAGTCCCGTTTAATTTTCCTATCAATATACTTGTGTTCTCAATGCTGAGGTATAGGTTTCTGTTTTCTTAGACTGGTGTTAAAAGTTCTGATAATTTATAGCTTTGGTTTCTTTGTGGCTTAGAAGTGAATACATTTCCACAACATTAGTAGTTGAAATATCATCTACAGACTGATATTTCTTGCCAATCTGTATATTTCATAAGATGCTAATGGTCACGTAGCTATTTGTCTTCCACACTACAGCACACAATTTGATGCAACTCGTCACTTGATGCACCTCAAGCTTGTGTTTCTCAAACTGTGATTTTAGAGCCCACGTCTTCCTCTGGTGGACAGGAGACTGAAGAGCATGAGTGTGGATTGTAGATTATGGCTCCAGTTTGAAGAACCCAGGGTGTTTGAGTACCCTTGGCAAGTTCCTTAACCTACGCTTTAATTTCTTCATCTAGGAGATAACAGTAACCCACGGGATTGTGAAAATTGGATAATACAGTACCTATATATATGAAGCATGACACAATGTTTCATACATGTTAAGACATTGTTTAAAATGATGGTTGTTGTAAAGAATTTGAAGAAGAGTCCTGATGGGCTGGAGTAGTAATGTCTGGAATTAATCAGACCTACTTGTAGGTGTATGTCTGCAGTGCACTTGTTTCTGTAAGCCTTCTAGTTTCATTGCTTTCAGATTCATTCCCCACCCTCCAGCCCCAGTCTTCATCCACTGCAGAACGAATTAGATGGCATTCTTAAACATCTCACTTTGTCAAACCCACCACCTGTGGGCCCAGCTGTAGGCTGGTCTAATTTGTGCCACGTCTGAAAACCAGAGACAGACTCCAGGGGTTAATGTGGGGCCTCCAAAGCGGGGATTGTGCAGAATAATTGTATTTTTCCTCTATTCTTCCAGTCCGTTATGTTCTGAACCCACACATGTTTTCGGAAGGACCAGATGGCTGGCACTGGCTAATGGGAACCAAAAGACAAGAGTGAAAGTCACCTGGCTGTCACATATCTCTAGCTTAGAGATGCTTCGCCCTGTTCTATAATCAATTTCTTTTTTCCCCTGGAGACTTCGTCTCACTGTACCAAAAACTACTGGGATATGGTCCGACCTGTCTGGGGTTAGGCTACTATCCATGTGATGAAGTTGAATGAATAAGACCATACTTGGAACTGTGGGAGAGAAGGAATAGCCTCTGTGTTTATCTGGGCAGCGTAGCCTTGTGGTTATGAGTTTGGGGTTTATAGTCAGGTGAATCTGGGTTCCAGTCCACCATCACCATCTAGGAGTTCCTTGACAAGGGACCAAGTTACTTAACTTCCAAACCAGTTTCTCATTTATGAAGTGAAAATTATTATAGTACATTCTTCACATTCCTCATGAAGAATGAATGGAATAAATGATTTACTATGGAGCTCAGAATCGAATGAGAGGGTAAGCACAAAGGAAACAGATCAAAGCCTGAAAAACTCAAAAAAACGACCATATACTAGATAAGCTTGAATGGAAACACCAGAACTGAAATGATTGGAGTCAGGCAGGCTTCTGAAGCTGTATGAAAGACCACTCTCAAGCATCTGGAAGAGACTTAATGTGGCTCCTCCTGTGTAGCTCAAGTGTTTCTGGTTCATAACATAGAGATTAAGGAATCAAACCAGACCTCTGAGCAAAAGAATGATCTCGCAGCTCCCTTTCCTTGCTATCTGTGGAGTTAAGTTAATCAAACAGGTAGCCACAACACTGAGGGCCCAACAGAGTGTGAAAGCTGTAGAACTTGGCAGGAGACTGGATGGGTAACCCGAAAGGAGACAGGTGATTGCAAGGTTGTTGGGAGCAAAGAGAGGGTCAGGAGTTCTAGAAGAGAAGTCATGAGGTAGGTTTTCTTCTTTGAAGGTGGGAAAGATCAAGTGCAGACTGGGCTGTGGTCAACGTTTGCAGACCAGGAATCCACACGCTCTAATCAGAGAGCTCTTGGTATGCAGGAACTGCCAGTTTGCCGCCGGGAACAGAGCCCCAGACTGGTAATGGTGAGCCCTGAAGTCGCACCCCAGCTCTGCCACTCAGTGAGCACGGGTAAGTCATCCACCTCCTCCGGGTGACCTTGATGGCCCTCCCTCCTCAGAGGCAAAGGAAAGGGAGGCTGGGAGTGCCCAGGGCAGCCTCCTTGTCAGGGTAGGGAAGGAGATCAGGAGCCTCCTCCATGTGACGGAGGGGCTTCTCAAGGCTGGGTTCTCAGCAACCCCCTCCGAGACGGGAAAGGTTCAACTGAAACCATAGTCACTGACCCAGAGCACCGAAAGTGCCATTGGCTAGTCGTGCCAGTTTCCTGGGTTGTTGCCGACTTTGAAATGGGGCAGTGGCACTGCTCGCATTTACAGGCTTTTCTGTGAGATGGCCTCACCCGAGCACTAGGGAGCTGGCTGCAGAAATGTCTTTCTACATTTATCCAAGCATTTTATTCAGACAGCAAGAATCACCAGTTTTATTATTGTCCTGTCTTGACTTTTTTCACCTCAAGACCAAGTTGGCTGAGGCGTTGGACCAACACGTGAGTGCTTTGAAAACCTGGTGTTTGATTGTTGAATGCCAGTTCCACCAGGTAGATTTTTAAGCGTCTGCCCTTAAAGTCCATGCTCTTGACCCTAGACTGAGGGTTCACGCTGCCCATGGGTCAACCTCAACAGATGAAAATTTTTCCTTGGCTACAGCACCATCCCTAATCCAGACCAGCCATGGAGAGGTTCGGTTCTTACCAGGAAAATGAGTGATTGTGGGAGTGGCTCACCACATTGGGAAAACAAAGCTCACATCCTGCTGATGGTGGCTGAGGACTGTCGTGTCCACATACAAAGAAAAGCATGTGGCACAGTTTTAGGACAAAGGTGAGCAGGGATCCATTGTGGAAAGGGGCATACTCTCTGATAGCGAGAGCGTCCAGGGCATGGCCCTTGGTAAGCAGTGTTGGTGGGTGACTGTGGTCACACGCATGGAGGCTTGCTTCCCCTCGCTCCTCATACCCATTCCCCAGCAGTTAGCCGGAATTGAGCACCCCAGTCCCACATTGCCCGCTTAGCCATTGGTCTGCATATCTTCAGAGCAAAGCCTGCCCAGCATTTCCAGATCGGATCTCTCTCCAGTCTCTGAAAGCAGAGAGGACCGTGAGACATCCTGAAAGGGTGAGCTATCGCCTCTCTGCACACTTTCCAGTAGAACTACCCCACCCCACCCCACCCCCAGAGCAGAGCTGCTTCGGTTGAGAACACCTCTTTAGTAGCAGGAGGAGCCCAGCTAGCTTTTCTCAAATTGAAGTCTCAGTGCTTTACAAACCTGATTCTGATTCGCTTTCGAGAACTAATTTGTTTTTACTGGAATAGAAGAGGGAGGGGCTCCCTAGCTGAGAAACCTGTCTGTTGGGTTGTCTTTGTGAGGTTCATTCCCAGCTTCCACCAGAGGTAACTGGGTGCACGTGAGGCAGACCCATCAGCATGCGTAGTCTGTGCTCATCCATGCTTTGACGAAGGGTCCGAAAGGAGAGTCCTTTCTTGGGGCAAGACATTCATTTTCATGGTACTTGCTGCAGAGAACAAAGGGAATGAACCATTTAGAAACTCTCCCAAAGAGCTCTTCTTCGTGGGAGCACTCAAATTTAATTTGGGGACAGTTTTAAATATTTAAGTTAAATTGGGACCCATACGGTAGTTGTAAGCCAAAATTAAATTTATCCTTGTCTATCTACTGCTGCCATGTACCTCTGATGGACGCTTCCCTACTGGCCCAGGCCTCCCAAATTTTAGCATATAGAATATCCAGCAAGTGTGACATTGGGTGAAAGAAACCTTAGAAATAAGGCCCTTCACTTCCCAAGTACAAGTGAGCCCTGAGGAATGCGAGCCAACCCAGCCTACTCCTTGCAGTCCCACTGTAGCCCTCTGAGTTGTGAGTGCTGGAGTCAGACCGGGCGGCTGTGAGTGCTGGAGTCAGACCGGGCGGCTGTGAGTGCCAGCTGTGGCCCGTGTTTCTGTTACTGTGCTTCCATTTCCTCAGCTAGGAAATGGACAGAATAGTACTTGGCTCTTGGGTGTTGTAGATATTTAAATAAGATGACATTGCCTAGTATGTAGAGGTAATTTAATAGATGTTTGGTTATGTTTCACTATTACTGTCAAGTCTGCCTCTCTTATTTGAAAGGATGCCTATTTACTCCAACCTGGTCTGGTCTTGCTTTTTGCTTGCCAGGTCTGGTTTGTTCTGGAGGAAGCAGTTTCTCTGTCTTCCATACCCACCTACCACGATAATGGCAGAGAAAAGAGTATGCGATGCCTGGTTTGAGCCTTAGGATTTGATCACTGTAACCAATGTTTCGAATTGATTTTGTGGCCTTTCCCATTGCAATAGAAGTTTTTCATAAGTGACTTAGATACCCTAAAATGTGACTACTATGTGGCCCTCTTGTGGGAGCACTTTCAAAAGTGACTTTTAGGGAAAGGACTGCAGGGCCCCTTGTTCTCCAACATCACAAATTGTTTCCTCTAAATTGGGGAACATTTTTGTTAGGCATGCATTGCTTCAGCCTCTGCAGCAAAGAAGCATCGGTCTACCTGAGCACTAATGTATGTTTGTAAATAATGTGCCTCTACTTAACAGATTGTCTTAACTTTCCCTATCAGTCTGATTGAGTTGTACTGCCTGGAAGCCTGGGGACAGAGCAGGCAGGCACTGGACAGCTCCCAGTCAGGAGATAAGTCTGCCCAGAGCTCTTTTGCTCAGAAGCAGTAAGTAGCTTGGCTTTCCATTTCAAATGCCTGAAGAGCGGAGGGGTCCTGTGCTCTGTGGCCCTGGTGTGATTACAAAGCCTACTGAAGAAAAGCGAGGGCTTTCCTGGGTTCTTTTGAGTAATCCGTGAGAGCCCAGGGTCTTTCGTGGTCTGTGAATTGTGCAGAGCCCATAGGTGAATCCCCAAGGGTAGTGAAGGCCTCTTCATTCTGCCAATGTTGAATGTGTTTCTTGATCCTCCTCTGGCCTCAGACTCTCCTGTGGTGCTGACTGTGGGCAAAGCAGACCCGTGACCAGTGTCCACACCTACATTAGGAAGGCCCTTTCTTAGTTGCTACATGTTGTGCTAACTGTAAAGTCAGCGGTTTGGAACCACAGTCTCTCTGAGAGAGAAAGACGGGGCTTACTACCCCTGGAAAGTTAGTCTCGGGAAACTCACAGGCAGTTGTACCCTGTCTATCCTGTCTCCTGAGCCTGAATCAGCTGTTGGCAGTGAGCATGTTCTGTTTGAGAAGTAAAACCGCAGTAGAACATGCTTTGGTTTGGCCTTTGGCTTACCTTTGTTGTTTTGTCTTTGAAAATAATAGCATGCCTTCACGTGATCCGTTACCCGGGAAAGGGAAAAAAAACGGCTTCAATACATTACAGATTTGTAGTGGCTTAAAGCACATTTTAACATCGTTAGTGATTTGGAGAGGTTTTACTTGTTTTGTCAAACGTAACAGGGGTGTTCAATTCATTCTTCATAAGCTTCTCAGCCATCCCAGCCTATGAAAGCATGAAACCATGTCTGAAAGACTCCCCAGCCTCAGTTCAGCAGGTGCCTGCTGAATTGTGTTACTGCAAAGTATTTCCTGGTGGACAACTGGGCATGTCTCTTTTTAATTTAATTTTTTTCTTGAGAGAGGAGATCCAATGACAACTAAAGCTTCAGTGCCACTCACAGACCTTTCAGCATAACCAGCCCTCTGCACATGGCAGCCCAGTACAATGTCCCCCTGAGGGACTTGTTCGAAGGGACTCTGGAGTAAGAAAACATTCAGTTCTGATGCTCTTATTTCACGTGTTGCTGGGTAGCGCAGTACATGTTAAAGATGCTTTTTGTCGGCAGGCTAAAAGAACTGGCGAGTCTTAGAGCCTGTTTCCAGTTTCCAGATGCACAAGAATCCGTAGAAATGTAGGTGGACACTAGTCAGTGTTTGCCTGTGTGCATGATCTTGCTGGTATTTAAAGAAATGGCTTGTAACTTTCCTTTGTGATTTGGTATGGCCAGTGAGATGATTTCACTTTATAGCTACAGGCAGGCACTGGTCACAGGGCTGGAATGATCACAGCCACACTTCGGCTACACCGAGCACTTGTGGATAACAAAATGTGCAGGGTGCTCTTTAACCTGGCATACAAATTTCACACTTTGGTCTTATAAATTGTACTCTTTAAAGATACTGGTAGGATTTGAGGGTGGTGGTTTTCTTTTGGGTTCAAGCACCAAACCTCTTGGCTGGAAAATTCCTAACTTACCATCAAAAGACGTTTGCACAGTTATGTAGGGGTCGTAGAGAATTCCAGCCTATCCAAACCCTCATGCAAATAGAGTTTGGAATGTCAACAGGAAAGGAATCACTCAGAATTTTTCCACTGATAATCTCCAGAGCCATCAGTTCATTTGTGAGTAGTTCGCTGAGGTAAAAGAACCAGGAATTGTTATTTCTCGTTTTCAACCAAAGAGATTAAAGTACTGCGGTTTTACTTGGTTTGTTACTTCAGAATGTGATTCAGCTGTCAGACACTAGGCCTGAATGGAAGAGACCCAATTGTTCAGAGATAGCACTCGAGTTACAGCTTTAAAGGATGAGTTTTTGTGTGGTGTGTTGAAAAAGCAAGTCATCTATCTTGTAGTGAAATTTATCCCAAGCATCCCTGTAACCCAGCACCTCTTTGGGGGAGAGGAAGCAGCCTGTTTCCTACAAAGGGGTCGCTCTGAGAGGTCGCCCTGGCCTCCTGCAGTGCTTATGCAGTGATTGCAGCCGAAGGGGAGAGACAGGTGATCCATAATTGGTGAAGCCCACCTAACCTTTGCTAAATATGACCCTCCTTTGCTTTCTCTTACGTTGGAGGTCAAATGGTGCCAACCTGGATGTCATTTGCTCTCTTCTAGATATGGTTTTGTGGAGTTTGATGATCTGCGTGATGCAGATGATGCTGTGTACGAGCTGAATGGCAAAGACCTTTGCGGTGAGCGAGTAATTGTTGAGCATGCCCGAGGCCCACGGCGAGATGGCAGTTACGGTTCTGGACGCAGTAAGCATTTCAACGGCATCTGTATCAGTGCCATGCCTTTGTTTACTAAATGTTAATTATGAAAAGTCACTCATTAATGTTGCACTTAAATTATTGATGTTTGAGCCATTTGCTTTTATAAATTGTGTATCTTTAATGTACAATTGCAAATAAACATCTCTGATAAATGTTTAATGTTAATTAAGATGATATACATTTCTTGTTTTAATATTTTATAAATATGTTTAATGATATTTGTGTTTTTTTTCTCTGTAATGCAATTGTTTAACATAGAATTAACAGAGACCTCAATGTTTTAATTAAAAGAATCCTTTGAGGCTAAGATGACTGCCTGTTCCATTTGCTGACCTTGGGTTACCTTTCCATGCGTGGCTCTTTGAACCATTGTGGCCCTTGGCTGACCAAAAACAGGAAGCCATGTGACGACCGCAACCTTTCCCCATTAGACCTGGGTGGTGAGGACCCCAAGGGTTAGACACAGATGAGATTAAACTGAAATAGGTGCCTGAAAATCTTTTTTATATATCTATATATATAGCTATAAAATATTCACACACAAAAAACTTTAGTCACTGTGAGTAACACCTGTAACTGATTTAGTAATTTAGTTAGTTCTTTCTAAATCGTTAAATTGTTGGTAGTTTTTAATTTATGCATGTTAATTTTAAAAATTAAAATTAATGAATGTGTGAACTTATAATTCTTTAAATTAAATTTTCATGTTTAACTGATTGTCTTTTTAAGAAATAAACACAGATCTAGTTTAGAGTGAAGGGTGGGAGTAGACATAAATATAGATGATATAGTTTGGGGTGGGAGGTAACTAGTAATGTTTAAGGGGATTCTGTGCTGTCTCATTTTTCCATTTCCTCCACTGAAGTATTCTCTTACTTGTTTGAACCTTCCAAAGGTGGATATGGTTATAGAAGAAGTGGCCGAGATAAATACGGCCCTCCTACCCGCACAGAGTACAGGCTGATTGTGGAGAATTTGTCAAGTCGGTGCAGCTGGCAAGATTTAAAGGTTTGGTCCTTTTTGGCTGTTTGGGATGAGAGTGGGCGGGAGTTAGATTAGGAAACAGTAACTATATGGGCACAGACATCACACCGGTTTGAATGCCTTCCCAGGGTGTTTGGAGCTTCTCCAGCGAAAGCTTTCAGAGGAATAAAGACCCCGACTTACTACTTGACGTTGTGGAAACCTTCTACTCTTAGGACTAACCTGTAGGGAAGGGTGTAGGGTACCAAGGTCGCACTCATCTGTTCAGAGTTGCAAGCCACCGGGCTTCCTGCAACGTTGGCTGAGACACCTGTGTTTATATCAGCTCTGCACTATAGGTCCTTCTGTCATGGCATTGGTGGTAACGTATGTTTGTTTTTCATGGGACCTGATGCCGTAGTGGGTTACACGTTGTGCTGCTAAGCGCAAGGTCAGCAGTTCAGAACCACCAAGCTACTCCTTAGGAAAAAGATAAGACTTTCTGCTTCTGGAAAACATTTACAGCCTCAAAAACTCAAAGGGACAGTTCTACGCTGCCCCGTAGGATTGCTATGGGTTGATTCCAACGGGACAGCAATGAGTTTTCCTGAAAGAAAGAAAAAAAAGCGGCGTCTGAAAATTTGAGCATTAATCCAAGCTCATTTCAGTCTCCTTAAAGAAGGGAAACTTACTGAATAGTGCTGCTCATCCCTCTCATGCCTCGGTTTTAGTCCATCATTACACAAGTCCTCTCAACAAGATGAGTAGGCATATTCAGGTTTCAGAAAAAATAGGAGTCATTTACATTCATGTAGTGTTAGCAGGTAATTACATTCAGACATGAAGTGTTATTTATTTTTAAATTTTGACCCTAAGTAACTATGATATACAGAAAAAAATTAAGACTCTCACAAGTGTGTGTCTTAGCAGAAGAGCTGAGACCAGGCCCTCCTGGCTCCTGGGGTTTTTTTTGTAGTCCATGCTGGCTGTCAGCATTGACTGCCCTTTTTTTTTAAATAAAAATTTTTTAATCATTTTATTAGGGGCTCATACAACTCTTATCACAATCCACACACACATCAACTGTGCAAAGCGCACCTGTACATTCATTGTCGTCATCATTCTCAGAACATTTCCTCTCCACTTAAGCCCCCGGCATTAGGTCCAACTGCCCTTTATTGTTGGGTGCTGCCTGCAAAATTGTACCCCCAAAAGCATGGCTCCGCTAGGGTGAGTGTCTTGAATGGAGCATTGTGAGTAGAAACCGGAGAGCTGTAGTCTGACTAGACAATGCAGTGTCACTAAAGATAGTAGTGAGTGCATGCATTTCTTAAGGAAACTGATACATTTGAGGCTAAACTGGAGCCTAGCCAACACCTACCATTAGTTCTGTCCTTCCATACCTTTGGGCAGGCTCACTCTTCAGAGAGTAAGTGTGTAAGCATCCTAGCCCTCTACAGACTCATAGCTGGAGGCCAATGTCATAGATAAATGAAGCGGGTGCAGGGAGATCACAGGCCAGTTGGTCCGATCATGTGGATCCAAGGTTGGGGGAAACTTGAGAGGGCTCACGGGGTCAGTGGCACACATGGAAGCAGCCACAGTGTTGCAGCAAGGATGACGGCGAAGGGCAAGAGACAAGTGTCACTGTCTCCTCGAAAAGGCCCCAAGCCCCAAGGAGGCATCAGCAGGCTGCACTCCACCCTACATTGTGTCTGTTTTAGATCATTGTCTTTGGTCTTGTATCATTATTATTAGCTCCCCATTTGCCCTAACCTTCTTTTTTACGGAGCACTGATGGCATTGTCAGGTAAGCATGGGACTGTTTTACTTGTGAGACCAGCAATTCACACCCACCATCCCACCCCAGGGAGGAAGACAGGGCCTTCTGCTTCCATAAAGATCTCTGGCCTCTGGAACCTGGAGGCAGGATGGACTCAGTGGCAGTGGATAATTCTCTTTTTGCCGTTCATTTGTTTTCAAGAGAGGAGATGGTGTCATGTTTTTAAATAAAATTTTGTAATTGGTTTCATAATCTTTTTATGGGTTTGTTTAAATTTCACTTTGGGTATTTCTCAGTATCTGCATGTTTCAAACAAGAGTTTATAATGAACTGTAAAAGACTTACTTTAAATGTATAGGCAAAGTCTATAAACAACAAACTTGCCACTGTAAAATTAGAAAATGATAGTTAACTCAAAATTTTGTTTTTACAGATAACTTACTTAAAGCAATTGTTTTAGATAATTGTCCATCATCCCTAATGTGGACGCTTTAAAGGGCTTCAGTAAATGGTTGCTGGACAAATGAGAATATTTAAGAGTAAATTTATTCTGAGGAGGGCTGGCATTTTTTCTTTAAAAAGGGAAACGTCTATCTTGGTGGTTATATTAGATAGCTTAGCACAAAGTATACTAAAGTGGGTTGTGTGTTTGTTCCCCTTTAGGATTACATGCGTCAGGCCGGAGAAGTAACTTATGCAGATGCTCACAAGGGACGCAAAAATGAAGGGGTCATCGAGTTTTTGTCTTACTCTGATATGAAAAGAGCTTTGGAAAAGCTGGATGGAACTGAAGTCAACGGCAGGAAAATCCGGTTGGTGGAAGATAAGCCCGGTTCTAGACGCCGCCGGTCTTACTCCAGAAGCCGGAGCCATTCGAGGTACTGTGGGGGGTGTTGGAGACCAGTTTACTAGTGAGCAAGAGGACTTCTATTTACAGTTGCCTGTGGACTTCTCAGCAGGGTGCTTCCATTTGGCTCAGTAACTTAGAACTTTGCACTGGACATTTATTTGTAAAGCTCTTGAACTCTTAGGTCATTGGATACAAATAGAAGTAAAGTCCTTTCTGAGGCAGGGCTTGGTGACCATCTTTCAGATTGCTGGTTGGGGGCAAGCATGATCGCTCGCCTGGAGATTCTGCCAGACACTCCAGCTTCTCAAGAGTGGAGGCTTTGTCTGAATTTTTCATCTGTTCTGCAAGCATTTGGCCAGGTACTGGACTAAGCACGCAGAGGGAGTGTGAACAAGACAAATAACATCTCTGCCCTCATTACCCTTGGTTTACTGAAGAATACAGGCTGCCCACAAATCATCATCATCCTGATAAAGTATGCCAGAGGGAGTGTGCAGGGCCAGCCAGGAGACCCTTCCTTAAAGGGGGTTTCCTAGAAACGGCCCTGCGCAAGAGATTGGGGGAGGTGGGGAACAGAGGGCAAATGCCTTTCAGACAGAACAGTGTACTCGGGACTGGTGCCACGAGACAGTTTGCCGAAGTGGAGGCCAATAGTGGGCAGGCAGTTGGGTGCAGGTTAAGAATTCAAGAGTTAGTGGGAAGTAATTCCACCATTTAGGCTTTTCTGTTACATTTTTTTTTTCCCCAGGAAATTTTCCAGCTACATACAGCATTGATCACTTTATGATCTTGGAGTCAGCTACAGCAGGTTCCATTTTGCCAATATTTTTAACACCTCTGGCTACATTATCTTAGGGAAGTTGAGACATTGTGTCATTCTACCTATAAATACTTAACGTATGCATCGCTCACCTTTAAAAAAAATAGAGCTAGAATGTCGTTGTCATGCCTAATAAAATTAACACCGGCTCCATAATATCATTTAATACCCAGCTTTAATCGCAAATATATTTGTCTCAAACATATCCTGTCATGTATGGTTTGTCCCTGCCCCCTGGATCTCCACACTGCCTCCCAATGACAGCCACTGGCCTTCTTTAACGACTAGCGTTTCTTCCTTTATCCACTTGTCACTTTCTTTCCATCTGCGTATCAGTTGAAGAACAGCCAAAATTGGCATTTTCCATAGTGTGCAGTTTGCTGGTTACCTCCTTGTGATGTGTCACATCTGCCCCACAAGCGTGGGATTTGATCACCAGGTGTCTGAAGAGGGACGGAGGTTTGGCAGAACCACTGAGTTCCAGGCCATGCGCTGTGCTTCCGCTCGCACCACTTAATGTCCTGTCCGTATGTCCTTGTTTTCATGTTGGCAAGGTGGGTCAGTGTGTTCAGATTGCCACGTTTCTGATCTAAGAGTAAATACAGTAATGCGGAAAAATCCCCTATCCTCCAGGCCCTGGTCAGATTTCTCTAGTTCGGTGGCGCTTTGTTTTGTTTTATAGAGATCGCTTTTATTAGGCTGTGAGCAAGACAAAGACAAAAGTCAAGTTGATGATTTGGTGACTCGCAGAAGCCATCAGCATGCGCCCATGGGGTCCCTCCTTGAGTGTTTCGTGGCTTCCTTTTCCAGCCCCTGAGCAGGATTGAAACCTGTGGTTTGCAAGTGATTGCCATGTCTTTTTAGTCTCGGGTAGCCAGGGTTCCCTGCCCCCATCACATTTCCCTTTCTTTGGAGGTCTAGTAAAGCTGTGAAACACTCTGGCTTGATGTTGGTACCTCTGGATACCGTTTGATTGCCACCATATCCCCGAATTTCCTATAATCTGCAAATTGGGTCTGGAAAGGTTGACTGAGGTACAAGTGAAGCATTTGGGGCAGGAATTGGTAACCAGGAAGCTTTGGAAGTTTTCCCTTTTCTGTCACAAGATGACGAGGCCTACCTTGTGAAGTCCCTGCCCCCCACTTGGAGTTGGTCATTGATCCAAGGGACCCACAGTCTGGACTCCTGAAAACTTTAAACTGCAAGTGTCTCTTTAATCTCTGAACACAGTGAGGTAAACACATTCACAGGAAGAGGGCAAATGTTTACGCAGGACGAGTCAGAAGGCTGTGCGTAGGGAGGCTGCGTGGGCAGTTGAGGCAGAATTATCAGTCTTTAAGGGAATGGGTGAACGCGGAGTCAAGGATGACGGTTAGCGGTCTGAGAAGTAGGGAAACACGGTACCCTTGGTGGAAAGCAGAAACCCAGCCAAAGAAACGGCTTGGTGGGGGGGAGTTTGTGTGTTCAGGATTGGAGTTGCTGAGGATATTGGGTAAGCTATCCAGAAATGTCTGCAGGCACCTGGTTACTAGAGCTTGGGAGAACATTATCTTCCAACATTGTACTGGCAGGGAGCTTGTACATAAGGAATATTTTTAAAGTTCATGAGGAAAATGAAATTCAATTATAAACATTTAAAATATAAGCTGAATTTTTCGATATAACTGAGGTTAAGACACTTTTGTAAGGGATGGTACCATCTATATAGTCCTAGGGAACCGAGGTCCTAGGAACTGAATGGTATCTTACAGTCATTTCACATTATTAACGGAAGAAATATAGATGCCCTGATAAGCAATTATCACTATTCTCTGGCGCTCCAAAAATTCAACAAGTAAATTGACTTGAGCATTCCCAAAACCATGCCATGACCTTTGTGATTGACCCATCCCGTTTTGCTGTGACTAGATCTTCTACCCCTGGTAGCTGTTTCTTTGGTTGCGCTCTATCTTCAGCATTGAACTGGGAAAGCTGTGTTTCATCTCCTGGAATGATTCTTGGAAGTGCTTCAAGGTCTTGATCCCGCTTACTGAAAATTCCCACGGAAAGCTGTCTTATTGGCAGCTCATCTGGGTGTAACCATCTTGGCACCCATCAAGCAGAACGTTTGCTCAGCTTTATTTTTTGTCAGAACAGAATTATTTGTGCTGAACCAGTTGAGATATCTGTGGTGCTAGCTATTTTTGTGTTATTCATTGGTCCACTTTACTCAACACATGATTAATTTTTCTGTACAAATCGATACAGGTGTTGTGCCACAGTGGTTTTATCTTCGGTGCTGTCCAATCCCTACTTAAAACAAGCTACCGTTTGTAAACTGGTTTCTTTGGGGTCACCACCCCCAGAAGCTTTTTATAAAGTGTCAGTGGTTTCCCCATTTTTCTACCCAAGCTTTGCCATGAATTTGATGTTTGTTCTTCTGTCAATTGTAGTAAGACTCGTGTTGCTCTGCTAGAGCGGTTCTTTTTTATTGTTGTCTTACCCTTCTTAGGGTAAGTCATGCTATCTGGAATCAGAACAAGTTTCTTTTGGCACATCCCTCCCTGCCAAAAGATAAAAGAAATTTGACAACGCTTCTCTTTGTCCACTGAAAGAATGACTGGATTGACTTTAGTCTGCTACCTCTTGTCATACTGTTTTAAAAGGTCTGTTTCTCCCCTAGATCTCGCTCTCGAAGCAGACATTCCCGCAAGAGCAGGAGCAGAAGTGGCAGCAGCAAAAGCAGTCCCTCTAAGAGCAGGTCCCGATCCAGGTGAGCCTCCTTGCTCCACAAGTGGGCGGCCGCAGGGACAGCCAGCGCGTGCTCCTGCTGTGGCTAACCTGCCCGTGGGCCAGGTCAGACGTTCTGTGGTGGGGCTTGATTGGGCGAAGCCACACGGAGCTCAGATATGCCTCCTTCCCGCCTCCTCAGGTCACGGTCCCATTCCCAGAGCAAGAGCCGCAGCCGCAGCCCGAGCCGCAGCCGCAGTAAGAAGGACAAAAGCAGCAGCCCCAGCAAGGATGACAAGAGCCGCAGCCGCAGCCGCAGCGCTGACAAAGGCCGCAGCAAGAATAAAGACCACGCGGAAGAGAAGACCCCCAACAATGACAGCGTGGGGAAATCCAAGAGCCAGAGCCCTGGTAGGCATAAAAGTAAGAGTAAAAGTCGAAGCAGGAGTCAGGAGAGGAGAGCTGAGGAGGAGAAGCGAGGGAGTGTGAGCCGAAGTCGAAGCAAAGAGAAGAGCAGGAGCCAGGAGAAAAGCCTCCGCAAGAGTCGGAGCAGGAGTCGAAGTAAAGGAGGCGGCAGCCGGAGCCGCAGTCGCAGCAAAAGCAAAGAGAAGAGGAAGGGCAGGAAGAGGAGCCGGGAGGAGAGCCGCAGCCGCAGCCGCAGCCGCAGCCGCAGCAAGAGCGAGAGGAGCCGAAAGCGAGGCAGCAAGCGAGACAGCAAGCCAGGTGGCAGCGGCAGCAAGAAGAAGCAGGACGACAGCGATGGCTCCCGGTCTAGGTCTCGGTCCCACTCCGCCTCGAAGGAGCGGGAGCACGCCAAGGTCGAGCCTGACCAGAGGGAAGGCCGGGGGCAGAGTGAAGATGCAGGCACCAACCAGGAGACCCGGTCCAGGTCGAGATCTAATTCCAAATCCAAACCAGACCCATCAGAATCGCGCTCTAGATCAAAGTCAGCCTCAAAAACCCGCTCTCGGTCCAAGTCTAGACCCAGGTCTGCTTCCAGATCACCCTCCCGGTCTAGGTCTAGGTCCCACTCCAGGTCCTAACTGGCTACGTCCCCGGTGGAACTACCCGAGAAGTCTTTTGTACATGTTTGGTAGCCGTAGCACAAGTGATTGAAGTAGACCACACGTCACTGCTGTACATTTTTAACTCCCCTAATGGTGTGTCTCTAATTGTTAAATCTCAGTGCTTCCTCTGTAAAGCCTCCTGGCACCAGGCCTTCCTGCTCGACTGAAAACAGAATCTTCTCTTTGGCCCCTCCCCCTTTACTCAGCCCACAGTAGGATATCCAGAATGCCCCGGCTGTCAGGCCTGGCCTTTACTGCTGGGAGTGCCGTACTTGGACAGCTCTCGGGCTGGGATGACGACCTAGGTAGGTACGGTGAATTCAACCATTGTTGCCCTCAAATCGATGCCCTTTGATGTCCACCATTTAGTGAGAGTGTGACGTCTTACATTTCCTACCACTTTGGGTTTCCTATTTGGGGACTTAACAAAGTTGTGAATAACACAGTCGAGGAAAATTGATACCTGCAGTAACCCATAGAAAACAAACTGTAGAGTTCCATATTCTGGTATTGTGACTATATTGTTTTATATTAAAAAAGAATTTTTTTTAATTTTATTTTTCCCTGTCTTGCAAAGTATAGTGCCCCCTGTTTCCATTAAATTTGAATAAAGACTATTTTTGCTTGACAAACTTGATGGTGCTTGAATCAAAGTTGCATTTTCAGATAGGTCCTGATACCTCTTTTCTTACTTCGCATAAAGAAAATGCAGTTGCCTCTTGAAAAATGTCATCATACGTTTTTTTCCCTGGGGTCACCTAGGGGCAGGCAACTGACACTGCCTGAAGGATTTGTCACACCCAACAGAACAAAGGCAAGCTTCCCAGGATTTTACATTTCTAAATTTCTCGAGAAGCTGGTGGTCAGGCTAGTGAGAAATCAGTCTGTCTGAGAATGTGGAACACCGAGCCACTGCTGTCTGCCGAGCCGCTCCTAGCCTCGTCACTTAGCATTTGGAATCCTTGCAAACCTGAAAATCGACTTCCTTTGTCCCAGTCATCCTTGCGTTGAGTGTTCTCAGCCCTTGAAGAAGCGAGAAGCTGGGAAGAAAATGGAGGAACTTTGAGGACACACAGCAAGCTTCTGTACTAATTGGTCTGTCTGTGTATTTCGAGCAATTGCCCTGGCTCGTGCAGACCAGACCCTGGAGGATGCACTTGGGACAAAATCAGATGGTGTCTTGTCCTGGAGCCTGTGGTCTGGTTGCGAATGATGAACCTCACCGAGGGCACTGGACTTGGATGGGGCAGGGCTGCACCCGCAGTGATGCAGAGGTGGTGCGTAGGCCAAGGAGGCCATATCTGTCTGGACCAAGAGTTGGATATTGGAATAAGAGAAGCAAGGGAGTCTAGCAGGATTTGGCCTTTGTCTGGAAAGCTGAGTGGTCTAGTGGACCAGAGCAGAGCTGGATCCCGCAGATGCAGTGCATCTGACAGTCGTGTGAAGGACCAGATGTAGGGAGCTAGCAATTTAGGCATGCCGTAATTTCCAATGGACTATGGCAGGAGAAGACAGCAAATTAGCCAAGACTAGGCCAGTGGTGGGACAGGGATCTGGAAGGTGCTGACAGGTGACCCAAGGTCATGAAGTCTTTCTGAGGAAGGGAAAGGTAAGAGCAGTTCTGGAAGCAAAGGTCATCAGGAATAGCTTGGACAACCAAACCCAGGAGCTTCATTCTGTGCCCTCCACCTCTCTGTCCTCTTGTCTGATCAGTTGCCACACCCCACCACCACCTCAGGATGGCAGGTGCCCAGGACATGAGGATTCCACAGCCTCTCCATTTACCTTGGAAGAATGGTCATCTTAGGGCATTTATCTTTCACTTCTGCTGTTAAGTCCTAATTAAAAGGAAAAAAACGCCATTTGATTATCTCAGCAAAGATTTTCTCTTCCAAACTTTGTTTCTATTCACAGTTTAAACAAAGTTCTGCTTGTGTAACTTAATAAACTATAACTGTGGGTATTGGAAGGTTGAAGGCCCATTGATTCTAACTAAATTAGCGCCCCCTCCCCTATTTTTTTTTTAATTAGCACTTCTTGGGATCCCTCACCCCCCCCCACCCCACCCCAGCCAGGTGATGTTTGCATAAAAAGGAAGAGGATAGAGAAATTAACATGAGAAAGATGGGAGCACATCTGTTGAGATCCAGGTGTGTACCAGAAATCACTTTGGTTGCTTCCATGTGCATTTCCCACCTGGTTCCACCAGCCAGTAGACTTAGACTACGTACATACTCTCCCCTCTGAGCGCCTGTGGGTCACATCCTGGGCCAGTGTAACCCTGCTAGCAAGTTACTCCACAACAGAGCCCTAGAGAAAGACGCCCTGCTTGTGTCCCCTCAACAATCTGAGTCAGGGTGACAAATCAGCCATCATTAGGAAATGTCACCTCTCCCCATCATCCCACCACAATCTAGTAGAAGCGAGGCCTTGGGAAGGTGAATGGAGTAGAAGGCCCAGTGTGTTCCCCTGGGAACGTGTGCTGGGGCTTTTCTGCACTGTATCATGGAAATCCCGTGCTTCTAGACGACGGACGCTGCGAAGAAGCCATGTGGCAGGCAGCACCAGACCACACTGCGTTGGCTGTGACTCCTAGTGACCTAACAGGCCTGAGGCTGTAAATAGAGGCTGATGATCTTTCTCCTGCTAAGTGGGTGGGTTTGAACCAAGATTTCGCACTTAGCCAGCCAAGGTTTGCTTGGTGGCTCGACCAGCACAGCCAGGGTCAAAGCAAGAATCCGCTTCCTCCATCTGAGGGCCAACTCCCCATCTCTAACCTGCCCTGAGCAGGTCTGCGTTGCTGAGTGCACGGTGCGGTGCACCGTGGCAGAAGGGCTTCCACCAATCTTCCTTTAACTTCTTGAGCGTTGGCTTGAAGGGGCAGTGTCGGGGTCGCGGCTACCTTACTGCCCTGAATGAGCAGGTGCATTGTGATGGGAGGGGTGTTGGTGGGGCGAAACCCACTGACCTTTTTCTCACCAATTTATTTCATTTTCTTAAAACAACATAAGCCCCTGTGATCAGTTGTCCTGTGGTCTTCCAGAGAATCAAGATTACTCCTTTAGGCTCCCCCCCCCAAAAAAAAAAAAAGTCCCAATTGCCTTGAGATGAACTGGTCCAGCAGATCCTTTTGAAGGCCCTGAAGGAGACTTGAAACATGTATTGCTGCATCCATCCACTGTGATAGAGGCGGTTTTCAACATGTTTGTTAGAAATATACCCACGTGCATGTACAAACTGGAACCCTAGTAACACTTTTTTACTGGCCCTCTGTGTGTGTACAGTCATGTCATCCAACATCCATGAGACGTTCTGTGAGGTAGTATGTATGTGATTTGGACGTCATGCAAACACCATCTTGTAGTCTGGTTCTATTCCTTAAGTGTCTAGAACAGGCTTCCCTACCTCAGTGCAGATCATCCATGTGAGGAGAGAGATTTGCTTCGACTCCTTTTTGCTGACCCGTTGTCACTGGCGCAGGCTCCTCCCCTCCTGGTTGGTTTGTAGCCCTGGATAGAACTGATGCTTTGACAGGTTGGGGAATTCCTTTATCTTTAAGAATGTGATTGTGGAGTACAACATGGCTAAGTTGAGAGCAGTATAGGCACTGATTTTCCCCTTGTTTAATAACCTGCCAAATGCATCTCCTTTGTCTCGCTGCTTCAGTCATTAGCACTGGCTGGGCTGCATTGGAAGGCATGAGGCACTTCGTGGGAATGTTTTTGAAAGAAAATTAAACATGCTACCGCCCTCCAGAGGTGGACTATGTGAGATTGAATATTGGCCATTAGGTCAAAGCATACAGTAAACTTAAGTCCACAACATGCACATATGTACATAGGCCCTTGTGACTATCAAGACAAGGTTATATATGGACCAGTATGGAGCTGAAGTACAATCACTTTGTATACAAGCCGTGAGATACACGTGTGCAGGGGGCTGTTGGCATTGATTCCATCCCATTCTCTAAGATGCCACACCAGAGCCTAAGTGAGACATGTGGCCCATGATTCTACATGATGCATCCTACTGAAGTAGAAGATTTTGTTGTACTTGGGTCTACAACACTCATGGAAGCAGTGGGGGAATCAATTACATGATTTACCTTTGCTGTAAGTAATAGCCATGAACATGGATAGACCCTAAGGAGGGCAACATTATGAACTTTTTAGACATACCCAAACACCGAGAGGAAATGAGTCACTGGGCCTGAGGGCTTGGCGCCATAGTCCAAGTGGGCACCAGATCAACTGGTGGAACAGTGCACAAGGACAATGTGGTACCTCCTACTCTGATGAGCAGTGAGCGGGGTCTTGCACGATGTTAATCAGCCGTCTAAGGGGAAGCTACTGGTCCCTCCCTGTGTGGAGAAAAGTGCAGAAGTGTGGGGACAGTACCGTGGACCGACACCATGCCAACATCCATCTCCATGACCCAGAGGCCAGCAGAACTAGATGGTGGCCAGTGTCACTAACTTCTCTGAGAGGGATCACATTAGAGGGATCTTACACTCGGGTAGAGCAGAAAACAAATGTAGAACAAAACTAAATTCTAGTGGAGACCAGGCTTCCTGAGCAGACAGACTGATGGAGCCCATAAGACTGGCCCTTTGTCACCTTCTAGCCCTGGAAATGAACTCCCCCTGAGGGCTCACACAGGGATCGTTAAGTGGAGCAGTGACCACTGAGAAGTTCAGAAGGGAAGAAGAATACATCGGGACGGGGGGGTGCAGTGGAATACGTGATGTCGATCAATGACATGTAACAATGAATAGAAAACTGGCCTGTAAATCTTCACCCGGTTCACAATAAAAAATTTTTAAAGCCCTAAATGACAAACAAGGAGGAGGACAGAGATTCATGGGGGGGAGGGGCGGTTGGAGCAACAGCAATCTAGCGGAAGGAATTACTAAGGTGAGTGTGATGGTGGGAAAGGAGGAAGGTAAAAGGAAACAGGCAAGATCTAGGAAGCAAAGTTAAGGATAGAGGTATAAATACAGGTGTGTACTTACATAAGTATATACATAAAGAGGTATTGGCATAGGTACATGTATTTATAAGCCAATACATTGAGGAAGTGGACAGACTTTGGGCCACTGCTCAAGCCCTCCCTCAACACACACAAGAACACTTTGTTCTAACAACCTGGCATTCTGTGATGCTCACCCTCCTGGCACAATCGCTGAAGTCAAAATAGGTGCACAAATGTGAAGAAAGCTGATGGTGCCCGGCTGTCAAAAGATAGAAAGTCTGGGGTCTTAAAGGCTTGAAATTAAACAAGCAGCCATCTAGCAGAGAAGCAGCAAGCCCACCAGCCTGTGTGATCATGAGGTGTCAATGGGATCATGATGTAACAGGCATCTAAGACCCAAAACAAGCAAACAAAAAAACATTGTTGAGAACAAGGGGGGTCAGAGCAGAGATCCATCTGTAGACAATGGGACATCCCCTCACAGGGTAGCAAGGAAGGGATGAGTCACCGGGTGAAATAAACCACCAATGAAACACACAATACTCCTCTAGTTCCTTGAGGTTTCCTCACCCCCCACTATCATGACCTCAGTCCTGCCTTTCACTGAGGGCTAGGCCAGAGCTTATACACAGGTACAGATAAGAGCTCAGGACACAC